ACAATCTTAAAAGCTAGATACAAAGAAAAGTTGATTATTGTTACATGTCAAGATGCTAATATTTAAATTTACCCTCTTACATTTGGCATAGTGGACGGCGAGAATGATCTAACGATACGTTTACAAAGCTAAGGAAAATAATTAGGGATATCGAGAACCTTGCCTTTATAACTGGCTGAGGACAACCTATAATAAATGGTATTACAAAAGTTTTTCACGAAGACCATCGTGGTTGTTGCATGTACTATACATAATGCAATCTGAAGACTAAGTATTGGAGGAGTGACATTTTTGTTCTGTTTAGGAAAGCTGCAGAGGACTACAGTTTTGAAGAGTTTAATAAGTTCATGGTCAAAACAGAAAATAAATCATATGATGCATGAAAGTATCAATAAAGATTGGGATTGAATATTGGCACGGTCACATTTTTTAGGACGTCAATGCAATTAGATGACATCAAATAATGCGGAATCTCTCAATGAAATATTGAAGAAAGATCGAGAGTTAATAATTTTTGCGGCATATGTCAAAACTATATTTTCTTTACAAAGTGAAGTCGAGTGAAAAGTTCCCGACCATATTCTTCCACTTAATAATTTATTGCCTCCCGAACTTAGACTGCGTACTCTAGATTTAGATGTACGTTTAAAATCCATCTATTGGAGAGTTTTCCTGAACGTAGGGTTCGGAAGGTGGGGTGCAACAGGGTATACTCGATAATTTTGTACAAGTTAGATCTCACTGCATATAATTCGACAGATGTGTAATTTCTATTTAAATCATGTGTAATCTCTATTTATAATACTTTATTGTATGTAAATTTCGAAAATCATAGTACTTTGCATAAATATATATGTGCAATTACTTATGCAATAAATAAAAAAATAAAAAAATTAGTCTAAAGATCCACTGGGAAGACATTATGTCAAAGTATGGAGACCTAATTGCAAGTTTTTAAGAGTTAATGTGAAAACAAACAAAACGTTCCCAGTCACCATTTTCACCTTTTTTGGTATAATATCTTTCCGGTGGATCATTTATGTTTCAATTACATACAATTGAGTCTACTTTTAATAATCTTTTTCTTTTTCTTTTACATCGTTTATTAGAAAGTTACAATTAGGTCCTCATACATTTTTTTATCTTTTTGTTTTTGTCGTAATGTCTTTCCAACTAGGTCTTCATGTCCCAATTGCATACAATGAAGACCATTTAATCTCCAATCATCGTTTTATGTGTTCCAAATCAACTATTATAAAGTTACAATTGGATCCCCAATCTTTTTAAGCCATTTTTTCAACCAAATATTTTCTTGGAATGATCATTCATTTTCCAACTACATTCGATTGAGTCAATTTAATCAACAATTAAAAAGTTAGAATTGGGTCCCCAAACTTTTTAAAGCTATTTTTCAGCCAAATATTACAATTAAATATGCTCACTATTAAATATACAATATTACTTTTTAAAAAAAAAATAATAAAATCGTACAATATAATACAAATCATAATTATATGCATACAAGTTGGACACTTGCTTCATCCTCCAATTATCAATATGTATTTGGTTTATCAACTCTACATCACGTTTGATGCTCAAAAACTCAATGTGCTTGATCGCAAAAGCTCCACAATCACCCCTGTATGTAAATAATAATATGTTTGTTTAATAACATATAACTAGAACATAACTTAATAAACTAAAAAAAAAAAAAACTTACGAACTTTTTTGTCTTGTAGTCGTCATCATCCTTACAATGGCTAGTCTATTCTGCACCACCAAGATTTAGCTATCATGGGAATGGTGGCCACTATTGACTCCAGTATACGTTCGAACTGGTCTTCTGTGGTACAACTATGATAGGAGAAGTACACGTACATCGTCAACTCAGTGAAAACGATATCAACTGTAAAGCATTACGAGTTCGCAATCACTAGGATGTACAGATGTGTACACCCCATCCCTGACTTTCCTTATCTCACCACGAGCCCTCTCACATCTATATTTGTTCAAGCTGACATAACTCATGTCATACTCAATTTGACTAAACAATCTGCAGCTCATGATAACTAGCCCAGCAACATCAGATGATTTTGGGTGTCTTCGAGCCTGATCGTGCAATAGTTCAATTGCCATATCGACATGCTACTACAAGAAAAATAATGCAAAATATAATGAAACAATAACAAATTATGTGAACAACATAAATAACAACATATATGCACTTATGTAGTCAATGAGCCATGTTCTACTTTTCTATACATCGTTGAATCATTTTTTTTGTCTGATATCAAGTCTTCCCTATTTTGTGGGTCACTGTGAAAGAATAAAAAGAAAAAGTTAGAAAATGCATTGATGAGTTAGTTTACTTCAGTAAAACCTAAAATACTTACCCATGTCTAATCTTAATGAACCAACTATCGAACGCTTTTTTCTTTGTTGAGTTGATGTCATGGAAGAGGTTGGGCAACATGCCATCTACAAATGTCCTCCTTTTCACCTTAGCGGTGAAGGGAGAAATAATTTATTGTGACAGCAATCTCAATTTTTTGCTGACCACCTGCTCTAGTACGTCGTTAAAATGCTTCTCGCCCTTTGTCACCTTCATCGCGTTGTCCAACACAATTGTCACGTCACGCTCTGTGTTAATGGTGGTGGCTGAGTCTATGTGAGGTTGTGTCCGTGTTGGTGGCATCGCTGATGTTGAGTTGTGTTGGCAATGGTTGTGAGGGTGTATCGGTGGTGGTAGTGGTAATGGATATGATCGCATGGTGGTGGTGAGATCGTGGTCGTGAGGTGGCGCAACGTTTGGATGATGCCAGTGGTAGAATGGAGTGAAGAGCATTTGTGATTAATTATTCGGGTGATTGTGACTAAAAAAATGAATAATTTGTAATCAAAAAATAATATGTGGCATAAAATTCTGTGATTATGACTAAATTTGTAATTGTGACTCACACTTTGTGTCTTTATAACTATAACCATATGCAACTGTAATTGACCATAATTGTGTGACATTTGTGACCTTGACCTTTTAGTGTGATGGTCACAAATGTGACAACTTGATTTTTGAAATTTTTTCTCTAGTTGTTGTTGTTTTTTTATTTTTATTTTTTTCCCACTGTATCTGGAAACCTTTATAATTATGTATTCTTCACACTTTGAAATGAGAAAATGAAGGTATGTGCCTATTCCTATATGCATGAAATTAAAGGAATGTGTGGCAAAACTTTTAGTATAATTTAATCTAAGCTAAAATCAACAACTAATTTTAATCACATGTTTCATGAGATCCATAACTTTCGATAAAAAATCTAGATTTTAATTTATGTCAAAATCAATAACTAATTTTAATCACATATTCCATAGGATTCACAACTTTTCAACCTCACATTTTATTAGCTTTTATTAAAATCTTCTAAAAATGTGATTCTAATCTCCCATTAAATAGAGGCATAGTTAAAAATTTGAAATGCAGTTAAAGGGAGTATACATTATTCAAAAACTTGAAATAATGGAGGTTTATGTAATTTTTTTTTATAAGGAATGTGGTATCTCTGACATTGTTATAAATCTTAGATGATTTATGTGTTCTTCAAAATTTAAAATAAAGAAAGTTTGTGTAATTGTAAAAAATGATTGGATGTCTCTGAAAACGTCTTTAATCTAAGGAGAAGTATGCAGTATTAAAAAACCCATAATCCATTTTAAAGTTTTTAGGTGAAGAAAATATTGAGAAAACAATGAAAATAACAATCTCTATTTGTCTCCATTATTCTTAAAATTTCTTTTGTATACATTTTATGATAGAATTGACACTCTAGCTTTTTTCTCACATCTTATTTTCAACGTTTCATTAATTAGCACATTTTGTTATTGATTATGGTTTTCGTCCAAAAAATATTCGTTACGAGAGAATAGAAAGATTTATTTGCCTCTTATATTTTTTTAAACAAGCAAAATAAACAAAGCATGTTAACTTGGACAAAATCATTATTTCAATCGTATTCAAGGTAATCCAAAACATGCTAATAAAAGTTGGCGAATTCAAATGTGATCCGCTGATCAATAATCCTACTTTTGCATCCAAGGTTCATATCAACCCTATTTTTAAAGTCTTGATAGTAGCTTGAAAGTCCCAATTTCTGACGTATTCAAATTGGGACTTTCAAGCTACTATCAAGACTTTAAGAACGACTCCTACATTTAGCGTTGACTCGTGAAGTTTTTATTACTCCCAACATCAGCTATTCTTCTTTGTGAATGCTGTATACTTTTGAACTAAAACCCACTCACACGACTTCTTGTGTACGAAGTTTTTCACACGTCAACCATTCTCACCGAATAAATAAGTCTATTACTCCAATTTCGTATGGAAAATCACGTACAAAAGTACAAAAATTGCCATCTTTGTTTACTTTTATTATACATATTCCAATCCCCCTTTTGAATTGAGGGTCGCCACCCTTTTTCTCCCATGAAAGTTAACTTAAAATAAGGTTGTTGGATCAAACATAGGGCAGGACTATTATAGTTAATCATGAATTTATGTTTACTAAACGATGCTCGATACCTATCTAGAAAAAAAATATAAATTAAAAATTACCAAGTTTTATTATTCCGGCCGGTTTAGAAAAGTATTTTAGAAAAAAAGGATAGTTCAGATTCTTTCAAGCATCAATCAATTATTTCTTTTTCTTTTTCTTTTTCATTTTTCATTTTTCATTTTTCATTTTTCATTTTTCATTTTTCATTTTTCATTTTTTTTTTAAATTTTTGGATAGAAGTAATTGACAACCCACGAAGTGAAATACTTGTTAAGTACTTTTTTTTTTCTTTTTTAACGCACTTATTTATGGTGTAAATTTACTTTTTTGGTTGAAGTAATTGATAAGTCAAAGTAAATGAAGAAGATCAATCGCTTGATCCCCACCTCTTACACCTCACGAAATAATAATACAAAACCACTCCCACCACCATTTACTTCAATGCAAGTCAAGTTCGTCTTCCATCCACCCTTTTCTCAATTCAACAAAATGTTGAGAAAGAAGCTCGGTTCAATGAAGAAACTAGCAAAGAAGGTTAAAGCCATTGGCAATGCCGACTGCCAGCTATCACAAAAACACGAGTATTTGCTCAGAGACGAAGAAGGAGGAGTCTCCCCGACCACAACCACCACCACACCCATAGGTACTTTTGCAGTGTACGTAGGCGAGGATCGTCAAAGATTCACAGTCCCAACAGGTTATCTCTCCCATCCTCTGTTCAAAATACTGTTAGAGAAGGCCTATAACGAATTTGGATTTCAGCAAAGAAATGGCCTGGTTGTGCCCTGTTGTGTCACTGTGTTTCAAGAAGTGATAAGTGCAGTGGAATGCTGCAATGGGAAATTTGATTTTGGAGACTGGGTAGAAGAGTTTATTTCGGCAACATAATATATGTGGAACGGATGTACTCATTGAAATGGATCATGAATTTATGGATGGATTTCCTAGCCTGTAAAATACGTGCAGTTCATCAAATAGGTCCAACAAATTGTTTATCACTGCCATGTTTTTTAGCAAAACTTGAGAACTTTGGGCTAGTTATTCAGTTAGTTAATTATTGTTGTAAGAATTAGAAAGCACAAGAAATTCAGTTGCTGCAACCAGTACTGATCCAGCTTTTTTCTCCTCTACCTCTATTCTGCATCTTATATTCAAAGCTGAATTGTGAAATCTCTTCGTTTTTCTTAGCTATATTCGACAGCAAAAAGAAAAGTATAATACTTTTCCTGCATTTCGATGCCTGCTGGCACAGGAGCCGCTTCCCGGTGATATATACAGTTAGATCGATCCCACATTTGCAAGTGTATAGAACTCATTGGTGAAAGAAATATTCGATAGATCACATACATGAGCTACCATCGAAGTTGTGGTGGGGGAAGGGGATGGGGTAAGAAGTTGGTGGTGACCTATCACAAAAGGATCAACTCAAGAACCATATTTGTAAGGGATTAAACTCCAGTCCTTACTTTTGACAGCAAAAATGGTCAGAAAGCAATCAGGAAACATACAATGCAACAGAATTTTATTGTGAATCACCCTCTGTTTGAGATTTTTGTCAGCTCATCTCTGCGAGTTGTCACTATAATGCAGAAGAGGAATACAAATTATTCCTCATACCTCTTACGCATACACAAAAGGTCCCCCTAAAAATCTTGGATATACCTTAAAACATTAGATTAATCTCATACATCCATTAATGCCTAATATATATGCTCAATATAGGTCAATCTGAAGTAGACTAAATAAGATTACAATGAATTCAATTTCACATGGTCTAGCTAGTTTCAAATAGATCAGGATCATTGGATGACTAAGCCTCCATTTGCTTAATTATAAAAGGTTAATAACGATGAATAATAGTGAATCTCATAAAATCTGTGGATAATAATGAGTCATTATTGAACTTGTGGTTGAAATTGATTTTTGTCTTTGACTGAATTTATAAATCATTTATAAATTTGTATCCAAAATAGAAATATATCAATGTGTACAGTGTGATCACATGAAATGCATGTTATTATTTTAGATCTAACCAACCTGATGAATTACTCCAATAACTGATGGGAAGTCAGAGTTGAGTTTAATACACTAACCTTAGAGCACATTTGGTAGATAGAGGCCATCAGATCTTGAATCAAAGTATTGGTAATTTTTGCATGCTTTAATGACAAGAATGAGCTGATAGACATTGGATCATAATTATGAATTGGAGAAGTTCAAGCTCCAATTAATACAACCATGGCCTAAGGAATACAGGCTAGCCATATATTTCAGAGGTAGATAACAACACGGTACAATTCTTCTTTATTGTTTTCAGTCCCCCACCCCTACTCTTCTCAAGTGATCTAGAGACACTTAACTTTTGAGTTGATTAACCTTTTTCTAGATCCCCAAAATGTGACACTTGAACACATGCAGACAAGCTTATGAATCCTCTATTGATTATTCATAACCTTCTCATGATTCTTGACATACCCAAATGATGTCATATTAGTGAATTTTGTTAAAGCTACATCTAACATCTCCAATGTATGATTGCCCCCATATAAGGTACTATGATGACTTCAAGTCAAAGGACCAATTCCATCTTCATTTTTGATAAAATCAAACCCTTTTGATTGTCTCATCGTGATAAAGATTCCAACTCCTAAACGCTTGCTTTAATCCCTATTTAAATTGATCAAGCTTGCATACTTTGTAAGCACATTTGGATTCAAAACTTTTGAGTTGTGTGTCATGTGTACTTGCTATTGCATGTTCATGTTAAAGAAAACAATTTTGACATCCATTTGCCACAATTCATAGCCATGGTATGTCGCTATTACAAGCAAAATCCGAATGGGCTTAAGTATGGATATAGGTGAAATGGTTATAGCAAAGTCAATTTTTTTTATCTTTGTTTCCAATCATTTTGCTACTAGCCTTACTTTGTATGTATGGATGTTTCTATCCTTGTTGACCTATTTTTTATAAACTCATTTACAGCTTATAAGTTTCATCCCATCAAGTGGGTCAACCAAGGTCCAACCTTGTTTTCATAAATCGAGTTGATCTCGGATTCCATGGCCTCTTGCCATCTCTTTGAGTCGACACTTGATTTTACTTTCACTTGATTAGTAGGTTCATCTAATTGGTTAACAATTTATGTGGATTCATGAACTTCTTCAAATTCTAATTTTCTCCCATTACACTCTCTAGAAATAAACTCTTTCACTAGGAGTATGATAAGTCTTGAGTTGAACACTTTCTTCTCAATGGAATTATAGAATTGATATTTAATACTTTTGAATATCCCACAAATATGTATCTATCGGACCTAACCTCAAGTTTATTCGATTCAGTGCACTTCACATAAGCGTCACAGCCCCAAACTTTAATATGAAATAAGTTGGGCCTTTCGCCTTTCCATAATTCATATGGAGTTTTATCAACCGATTTAGATGAGATACAATTTAGTGTGTAGCATGTGACAATCAATGCATGACCCAAAACGATTTTGAGAGGCTTGCATGGCTCATCATAGATTTCAGCATATCTAATGGTGTATGATTTCTCCATTCCAATACACCATTATGTTGCAATGTATGTGGTAGTGTACATTGTTAGAGAATCTCATTCTCTTTTAGATAATTTAAAAATTCACCTTTAAGATATTCTCCACCTCGATTAGATCTTAGTATGAGAATACCTGTACCTATTTGTTTCTCTACTTCGAGCTTGAATTCCTTGAACTTTTCAAGTGCATCGTGCTTGAATTTCATCAAGTATACATAACCATATCAGAATGGTCATCAGTAGATGTAATGAAGTAAGAGAAACCATCTCTAAGCAGTAATTGACATTGGTCTACATACATCAAAATGTATTAGGCTCAATAATTGTACATCTCTTTCTCTTTCTTCCAGTAAAGAAAATTTAGTCATCTTGTACAATAGGCGTGATTCGGATTTGTCAAATGATTCAAAATTAGTTGATCCCAAATCTCCATCTCCATGTAATTTGGAAATGTGTTTCTCATTTATATGACCCAGTCTTAATGCCAAAGCTAGGTATTATTTAGATTGTCATTTTTGTGTCTTTTATTTTCTATGCTCATAATAGATGACTCAGTATCAAGAATGTAAATATCATTTTGTAATGTACTATAACCATAAAAGATCTTATCTCGATAAAAGGAACAACGATTGTCCTTAATATTAATTGAGAAACTACTCATGTCCAAATAGAAAATAGAAAAAATGTTTTTGGTAATGATAGAAAAAATAAGTCTCTAATTCTAATACTAAGCCTGAAGTCAATGGTAAGAAGTATGTTCCTAGAGCTAATGTAGCAACTTTTGCTCCATTCCCCACTTGTAGGTCAACTTCTCTTTTCTGCAGTGGTCTACTTTCTTTAGTTCCTACATATTTATACAAATATGAGATCCATATTCGATATCTAATACCAAAAAAGCTATTTAAGTAGACATATTAACCTTAATTACCAATATACTTGAAGTGGAAGCTTTAAAAAACTTCTTTTCCTTCAAGTTGGCGAGGTATGCCTTGTAGTGCCTCTTCCAATGACATTTCATTCCACAGTAATAGTACGGGTTATCAGACTTGGTATTGTCCTTGTTTACTTTGACTATCTTGTTATTACTCTTAGTCTTCTTAGATTTTTTTTTTCAAACTCTCATTAGGTTTCCTTTTAGTGCCCTTAGAATAATGAATGATGAAGATATGCCCACTACCTTTGACATTGGGCTCAACTGTATTGAGCATTTTCAACAATTCGGAAAGTGTGCACTCGAGCTTATTCATGTTGCAATTCATAATGAACCATAAGTAACTCTCTGGCAGAGATTGCAGAACCAAGTCAATACTTACCAACACTGAACCCAATTGAGCTAACTTCTCAATAAAGCCAATCATCTTCATTACATGAACACTGATCGAAGATCTTTCTTCCATTTTGCACTGGTATAACTGCTTGGAAGTCTCATATTTTTCCATACGTGATTGTTCATAATACACAAGCATCCATAGCCTCATGTTGCTTTTGCAACTCATGTGGCATAACCACAAGCATCACATATGATGCAGTATTTATCGTCATTTCTGTAGTTATTGTAAGCAACCACTTCTTCCTTGGTTGAGTTCTCAGTGTCTTTGGAAAGGACTACTTAAGAAGGTAAAGAATTCTCTCATCCTTGAGAACGTTTCTCAGATTACGACATAAATAGAGAAAATTTGGTCTAGTCAATTTGTTGGCATACCTCAAGTATACTCAACAAGTCCTAATGAATCATTTGCGTAATATAACTCCTAGATTAATAAACTAACATTTCTTTATTTTCACACATCTTATGTGTTAGCTTAACACGCCTCTAGAATTTATCTCCTTAAGTGTGCTTATAAAAAATAAATTTTAGTTAAGTTGAACACATCATTCAAAAATATGTGTAATGATCATAAATTTATTTTAAATGATGGAAGTATATTTAATTTTACCTAGCCTTCTCGAGCCAAAAGAAAGACTAGTTTGTCAATTTCTAGAGGATATTGCATTAACATAGCATTAATGATCATCTCCATGGTTTTTCTCCTGATCTTAAATTTTCAACTAGTCTAATTACAACCTATATTCTATGCTAATTGACGCACGGGCTTAAATGAAATTGGATTCCCAGACACATAATAATAAAAATAATAGCGGACTCATAAGTCCAAAATGAATTACAAGCTAGCATGGGTCGAAACCCATTTTAAATTTAAAATCAAAATCCTTTTTAATATTTAAATTTAAAACTATTTATAAAGTGTAACATGACCCATATATTAAAATTCAAAGCTAGTCCTTCAATTTCAAAAATTGCATGACATGTCCTTTACTTTTAAATTGCAATTTGACCAAGAAACAAAATTGAAGGTAGGGGCCAGTAATTACACAAATTGCAATCG